CCCCAAAACCCCAAAACCCCAAAACCCCTCTCCAACAGAGAATTATTGAAAAATCAACTATTCCTCAATGAAGATTGTATCCAATCCTGTATAGAGTGACTGCTCGCACTAGATCTCTTAAGCTTGCTCTAATCGTTCAAGGAATGTATGGTTAATTCAAATTGCTGGGTATCTCAAATTTCAGGGGCTTAACAAAGTGATATGATTTAGGAGCTTGATAAAAACACTTTAAAAATATCTATTGAAATACTCAAATTCTGGTCTCAAATCAGCACCTGAGTTCCATGAGTATGTTAGAAGGTCTCCTTTGGGCTTATCAGTGGTCTAATTATAGATTCAATACTTCCAAAGCAATGACTGGCTCATGTTCAAAATTTAAGATATAAAATCTTCTAATCGTCCAACCATACTTCCCTAAAACTGAGAAAGTAGTCAATTCTTCGATAAGATTTTGGTCAGATTCTGAGTTCTAAATCTTCTGAGGAAGTGGCCAAATTATGAGCAAATTCAGACCTTTGTCCCACATGATATCTGTGAGAGGTCATCCTGATGCTTTATAACTTATGTTGGCTGATTAACGTTGCTTATCAGCCAAGGAACACTGTATGATCAGTTAATGGAATAGTATAAAAAGACCAAATTTTTAAGATTTTTAATAATTAATTTAATGTTCAAGGATATTTTTAATCCCAACCCAGACTTTCCAGATGAGGTGCATGGGAACTTCTGAGAGTCAGAGCTACAGAGCCTGATTAGATTAGAATCTTCAGTGACTCTCTGTAATAATGACTTTGAGTTTAGGAACAGTGTGAATCAGTCATGAGACACTTTCTTGAAGAAATCTAGTATTTTGCAAAATGATACCAAACTTGCTGACCAAGGCCTGAGTAATTTAGAGTTTACTAAACCAAACTCTCAATTCCTTTTAAACGAAGGATTAATTGCTGAAGAAGCTCAGTGCGAAGAAAGTTACTTTACTATCCCTCGAAGCAATCTTTTCAAAGAGTACTTTGATGGGCTCCGTTCTGAAGAACATGACAGAGATAATTCTAAAGAAAACCATATGCATGTAGATTTAGATTCAAAAGTTAGGGCTGAAAGCTCAGATTTTGAGCAGATGCTTTATGAAGAGGACTCAAATATCCCTGAGAAGAAAGAGTTCAGTCAAACATATGTTGACTTTTTGGACAAGCCTGAACCCAAACCAGATCTCTGGGCACCAACTAAAGGTATGAGATGGAGCAAGCAGGATGATATCGAGTTATTCAGACTTTTCAGGATGTGCGAAGACCAAGGCCTTCTCACTCTTAATGAGATAAAGCACTTTGACAGCTCAACTAAGGTGAGCAAAGTCCCAGCTATGCAGATGATTAAGGAGACCCTTGGATGCAGGCAATCCTGTAGATTTCTTGCAAATAGGATTAAAATCAAGATGAAAGATTCCTTCTCTATCAGGGAAACTAGGCTACTTAAGAGGCTTATTAAGAAATATAATTATGATGATATTCCTCACTTAGAATTGCTAGAACATTTTGCAGGAAAAACTCTTGAAGGGATGCAAAATGCTTGTGCAAATTTGTGAACAAATAAGAAGCAAAAGAGATTGAGAAAGGTCAAACAAGCTTAAGAGGCTTAACAAATGCAAATACTACTAAAATTTGTTAATTACACTACCAAAATTCAAATCTTCGTTATAGTAATAAAGAACCCATTATGCACATGGAAGTTACCTCTGTTATATATGTATAATAACTTAAAGGAGTATATCTCTCTGAGACTTTTCTAAGAGAATAAAAATTTGCTTAATGAATCAACAAAACTCCTTCTGTTTCTTAACCGATCATATTCTAGTTGAAATCTCTGGCTGTACATTTAGGCCAAAATTACCTTAACAGTACATATTTAAAATCTTCATGCTTCTGCCGATAGAAGGGTGTGAATGCCCTCAATAGTACTCTGATATCACCTGTATCACCTTTTTACGGCCATACAGAGTCTTGCTTATATTCTGTATCCGATTTCATGAAGTAAATGGTATTTTTTACTTATAAAGTCTCTAAATGCTTCAACTTTTTGGTGCAACCTTGGGGTTTTGGGGTTTTGGGGTTTTGGGGTTTTGGGG